GCAGGGACGCTCTCTTCTCTCCAGACACATTCGAATAAGGAGGTCAGTGCTTTGCAGAGGACCTAACCTCCATCCTTAAATAGTGCAGGTGGGAGGGAATCCGGGTCAGCGGCACGAAAACGATTGAGGGCTGTAATCGCGTTTCGGACCTCGGCATCTGACGGAGGCTCTAAACTAACCGTTCATGGCTCGTCCTGCATCATCTGAGTAGGAAGAGGTCCGCGAGCAGGAGGCCAGCTGAACTGATCTTGAAAGTGTTCCACCCAACGAGCCATACGGCGCTCCTTATTGTGTATCAGCGCACCCGCGCTGTCTTTGATTGTCTCACTGACGCCTGGTTTTCTAGGACCAGTGGTGCGGATTCACTGGAAGAGGTTGCGGTAATTGCCTACTGCTTCTGCCGCCTCCATTTCGTTTACCAAGGGTCCTCCCTGCGGAATAAATCAAAAGCTAACCAAACTGCTACAGCTTATTCTGAGTAGAGAGCAGTTAGGAACTTATGAAGTGGAAAAAGCGTGAGAAGAGGCAGGCTTACGAATTTTGCTTGGCTAAACAGTCCAGGAATGCTCCCAAGAAGCTCTTCTCATATGTGAAACGAAGCATTGAAGTCGGCAATGGTATTCCCGCTCTATTCTCTTGTCGGGGTGACACTATACTGTCGAGTGATAATAAAAAAAACCGAACTGCTTGTATCTCAGTATTTCCCGGTTCATTCGTTGGATTTATCGTTTCCATACGAAGCTGTACTTACGCACATATTCCCACTGCCCTTGTGTCCATTAATATTATTAGAGATATATTTGAAGTTTCCTTTTAAATTGGATGTTAATTCGTCGCCAGGTCCGGATGGTTCTCATCCCCTTTTACTCAAAACTGTGGCCGAGTACATCACCGCTCCCCTCTGTTAGGTATTTCTGGTCACGCAGCCGGTCAACTACCTTCAGATTGAAAAATGCGCACTGTTAAGCCATTATACAAAGGTGGTGATTGGCAAGATCCTGTTAACTATCGCCTTGTTTGTTTAACTTCGGTTATATGTAAGGTTACGGAGAGGATGCTAATACACTCCCTTCAATCCCACATGGAAGGCTTAAACGTAATCTCGCCCGCCCAGCATGGGTTCAGCAGGGCACGCTCGTGTATTTCTAACCTCGTTGCTAGAGAGAAATGGGCAAGATCGTTAGATATCGGCAGACGTCTGGATGTTGTATACGTTGACTTCAACAAGGCGTTTGACAAAGTCCCTCACGAACGGCTCCTCTTCAAACTCCTCATCAACATCACATTCAATGCATGTTGACTGATGGTGAGTATTAGGAGAACAGCTATTAGACATTCATTTATTGTGAACGAGCTTGATAGCTATTCTTTACTCTTCCTATTTTCTACTTCTTAACTGCTATTTAAACGCTCTACTGGGTTAGCCCGATTGGTACACCCACGTCATTGTTAATGGGCGATCATCGTCATGTCCTTTACAGCAGTGCCGTTTGCAAGAACACATTCCATTAGATTTTTCTTCTCATCACTGGTCTACTTGCGTATGTTAAAAGAAGTTTTAGTTGTCACATGATTATTGTACTAGTTGTTAATTTTTGGGTCTGCATTTCTTATTCTCGTTTGTTTCGTGACATTTGGTTAAACGCTTCATTTGGATATTCTGATTGGCCAGTGACCGTCACTGTAAATGGACGTTCGCTTTACGCCTGGAGTCCCAGGATGCTATTTTTAAGGACATATGCGATTCGCTCTTGAGTACACGGTTGCTTATTCGCCCGGTGCATTTGACGTTTTTCCTTCTGCTGGTTGGCTCAAGTGTAATTTAGTAGCTTCCCTTCATTTTGCCTTCAAAACTATATAAGGAACTGTGATTTCATGTATACAAGTCTCTTTCTGGCTCGTCTTTGGACTTCTTCTTGCGGCTGTGGGGTGAAGGCGTCAGCGGCGACACAACAATGAGAAACAAACCTCAGCCAACGTGCTGCAATATTAAAAGATAAGATACTAAAAAATTACACTAGGAGAAAGATTCCAAAGCAAGTAATATGATGTTAAATATTATACTATGCGTTTCTTATGAACAAAATTGAAGGGGAAATCTAAAGGGGAGGAGATGGACAAAGAACACAACCCAAACGCCATAATAGCAACCGTGTCCAACCAAACGTGGTCATCGTCCAGGCAGTCGAGATAGAATTGGTGTCTCAGAGAACGCGCTTTTTTAGACCTGATTTACTGAAATGACGTACTATGTCGGTGAAGGTGAATGAAGTCATTTCTTCACTAGTCCCGATGATCAGTGGAGAGCCACAAGATTCGGTTTTAGGTCCAAAACTATTCAAGATTTTAAGCAGTGATCTAACTTCGCTTCAAGTGGGTTTATTAATCTATGCCGACGATTTGAATCTGTGGTTGGACGTCAACAGTCTCGATGACGCTGACAGGTTACAGGCGACACTTAACATGCTACTGGTCAGTCGTCTGGGGGTTGCCTATAAACCGAGTCAAGTGCTTCATCCTCTCAGTTGCCGCTTCTGAACCACTCGACAACTATAACATCGGTGCTTTCCTTCTCATGAATCACGTTCGAGCACAGGATCTTAGCAATATTGTCACCCAATCTACGGACTAAGGATAAGTTAAACAAAGTCAACGCAGCTAACAGGATATTCTGAGCTAGAAGAGGATTCTCCCGGTTTATCAGTGATCTAGCCACGAACCAATTTCGAGTGCAACCTGATTGAAAAAGTTCAAAGGCGAGGCCTTAAATTTGTTCCACTGCTTAGGAATCTGCCATTTTCCGGTCGACTTCAGCAAATGAACCTGTTCTCTAGACTACCGTCGACGTCGGGATTTGATCTACGCAAGATGCATTCTCAAAGTTGAACTGGGTAGTGAGCTTCGGCAGTTCTTTTAGATCAACAAAGACAGCTCGACACATGGGCACAGTTTAAAAGTTTAAACGGAAGTGTCAAGCCCGCTCAGAGGCGACTATTTACCCGGGTGGTGAACGATTTGAACGACTTGCCGGAGGCCGTCGTCAGCGCTTCTACTGAAGAATGTTTCAAACTTTTGGATTTGCACTTCCTTAAATTGCCGAGGTCATGCTGTTATCCTTGCGACCGTAACGGCCCACTGTGGAACACTGTTTCTCAATAACACGCATTACCCTCACTGGCCAGGAAGTGACGAAACTGTTTGTATTAAATGAACCAAGATAGCGTTCCTGGGAGCAAGTTGAAATCGAGGAGAGCTAAACTAATACACTTGAATCAGGTCATGATCCACCAAGCACTGGCCGCGTGGCCTGCACTAACAGTCCGCGATATACCGGCCACATGAATATGAATAAGATGGGGAAAACCAAAGCCTATTCGAAAACAGGGAGAACAAAAAGCAACCAAAGAATGACTTCAAGAGAGCAAGAACGAACAACATTTATGCGGGATAACCTGAATTCAGATTAGTTCGTGTCTTCTCATTCAGCCGCTTACAGACAAATCGTGGAAGAGTAAAGGAATGCAACTGAAAAAGGGGGTCAATAGGAAAATCAATAAAACGCTGAACAAACCAAGATCATTGCCTGCGTCTTACCAGGGCAAGGCAAGTCTGGCCACAAAGTCCATTTGTTTGCAAAGGTTTGGTTTCATTCGTCGGATGGCCGAGGCTTCAGCGAAACGAAGCAAGATCGCGTTGTTTTGTCTGCTGATAACTTTGAATGCATCACGTGGGTTTTCCCACAAGGTACAATCGATCAGATGCTGAGCGATGGAGCTGGCAGGGAGTTTAGGTCCACTATTTGCCAGGTTCTGTGGAACATGTTCCATGAGCCTAGTTGATAGCGTTCTCTCGGTTCGACCAATGTACATCCTACCGCAAATACAGATGAATTGGTAAACACATGAGGCGGTAACCTGAGAGTGAGGCCTATCCAAGTTGGATTCATGGAATAGCTTCTTGGTTTGATGTAACAACACGAGCTCAGCTGCGTAATAGCACCTTTTTATGACTTGGCGTAATCGGTAGCACAATCCTCTGTCGTTCTGTTCCCCTTTGTATGATAGCGTGATGAAGACCATTTTCTTTGGGACATCCATTCGTGTTCCTTTCTTAGAATGAGAAGACACGAAATAATCTGAATTCAGGTTATCCCGCAAAATGTTGTCCGTTCTTGCTCTCTCGAAATTCCTGAAGGGAAATGGTTGCATGAAATTCACAAAGAATGACTATTGAGTTCATGGATTTACAGAGGCAGAAGGGAGGACCCATGTTAACCCCACCACCTGCAGTTCAGCACCAAGACCACGTATGTCAGTGCGACCCGGTAGTCTTCAGGAAACCGGAGCGGCCTTGGTGTCTTGCGTAGGTGCGTAGCTAAGAGTCGTTTGAAACTTTCCTCTGTCGTCGCGTCCACAACAGTCACCGGAAGACGATTCCAGACATCCATTACCTGTGTGGAGAGGGCAACAGCGGTGCCGACTTTGAGCCGCCCCGGTTCGAATAGTTTCCAGTTGTGACCTTGAGTAGAGCCACTTATTAGAAAAGCTGCTGCTGCTGTAGCTCGTTCCCAAGTTCCCCTCTTAGTATGCACCACATGAAGATCAGGTCTTTACGACAGTGACGGTATTCCATGGAGAACAGATTCATGAAGCCGGAGGGAGTAGGGAAGATCACGAAGTTCGGATATATATATATATATATATATTATAGATATATATGATAGTTATGGCTCTAGTGACTGTGACTATGGACGCGTAATTGAACGTGAACACCATGGTCTAATGCCAAGAGGAATTGAATCATCAAGAATAGAAGTTTACTAGACCAATTTCACCAACGAAACATGCGAGGAGTCTGCCGATAGGATGCTATGATGTTCTGGCGTATAGCAGAACGAATGGGGGACGATAATGATATTTGCATCTTATGTACAAGAATATGGAGGAAACAGTCGAGAGGAGCTGATGTGAGACGACAAATAGAGAACGTGACAGAGTTGGTCACTCAATTACAAAATTCGGATCGTCCGTTGTAAAATACAAGATCAAACGTCGAGCAAGCTCGGGGCCTAGACGACGTGTGGATGCCAAAACGCCAGCTCCCCGTCGGATTTCAAGGTCGGCCAACTTCGATTCCAGCGGATGTGGGCGTCTTTGGCCGGAGGGATCACGCGAGGAAGGACAGATCATGTGATCGTTATCAGTGGAGTCTAGAAATTGAAGGAGGGAAAAGTGGGATTAGTTTCAACTTGCATTGCTGAATTGCGGAACAGTAGGATTGCGGCAAAACGGAGGCGAAGAAGAAAACAGAACGCTCGGTCGATTGACGTAAGGCAAAATGCATATAGATTGAGATAATGGGAAAAAGCAACATGACACCGAGAGTGGAGTGATGGTACCTAGTCGAGCAAGATGTGATAAAGAGCATTGGAAGCTCCAATAAAACTCTGCGATACGAAGTAAAACGCATCAATGAGATTAGATTGGTGCAGCAGTAACGGATGAGCTGTGGTAAGGTTGGCAACACGAAACGCCTGGCGAGAGCAAAGCAACGAGGCGTGTGGGTAACAAATACACAAAGCAAACGAGTGACAATGCGAACTCACTTGTCCGTGTATGACAGGCGTGGAAGAAGGCGCGAGCAGTTGGATAAGACTGAGTGATCGCGTGAGCTATTTCGCCGGTCACACCACGCCATTGGCCAAGCTGAGAAAGCCAAACGCGATTCGCCCAAGCGTAGAGAGCGCGGGAATCGGTTCCCATAGGTTTGCCAGTTACGGGTGAAGCCGGAGCTGGTCCGGCACCACGGCCTCGAGAGGCACAGCCAGCCAGTCCGGCGCGAATTGTGTCGGGGAGAAAACAGAGGCCCTCATCGCGAGATAGACGGCCTTCCCTGAATAAGGAAAAATGATGAAGCGGAATCAAAAGGAGAACATCTGGGGTGCAAACACTTGACCAAGTGCGCCAAAACAAGCAAGGGAAGCACATCGTGAAGTGGCCGTCTGAAGGCAACCACGGAGCAGGGTCGATCGAGGTTGAGCAAGTTCGCGCAACTATCGGGCCCTGATGCTGTATACAGTTCCGTTCAGTTAGACAACATTGATCCGGGTTTCGAAATGCGGTGGATCCAGTTGTTACGATTCACGTTGCCATAATCACGGTAAACAACAACAGAAAGGAAATAAAGTTATAGGTAAATGGAGTACAAAGAAAACGGAGTCGCAAAATGCGTTAAAGTAATAAGGACGGAACATGCAAGACACCGAGTGTAGGAACGCCACTGACTACGCCATGTCTGACAGAGTCACCAACCACTAGTGTAGACCATACAGGGGCTGAAAAAGTCTCTCAGTCAATTACTTCATGCTTCTATGCCACGTCATGGACCGGCCACCTAGTGGTTGCGTCCAACTTGGCGTAGCCACGGCGTATAATGAATGCCGATGAAGCCGATTAACTGGCATAAGGAGGACATGACCTAGCCAGCGTAGACGCAACAACTTCCAGACACTAGTGAAGTACCTGAAGATTTCTCGCCAAAAATCTAATGGTGAACGTCAGCATTGCTAACCCGGTGTTCCCACCAAATGTGAGAAATACTGCGTAAGCACCGGTCCTCAAGCGTTGAATGTAGTTACCATGATCTGACCAGGTATCTGTCCCGGACAGTAACATCGGCCTTACCGCACCGTTATACACCTTAACTTTCACTGACAAGCTGATATCCCATCGTCTCCATACATAGTTGAACCTTGATGATACACGAAGCAACCTCAGTGACGTCATCACCAGAGTTGACACAGTTACCAAGGTAAGTGAACCGATCCACCACTTCCAGTGGCTTTTCCGTAATAGCGAGAGTCGGAGATGTCGATGCAGTAGTCCTGCAGTAGTACTTTACACTTTGAAAGTGCAAAACACCTATGGAAGCGTGAAGCACTATGCGTCAGTCTATCCAGTAGTGTCTGCATTGACACTGCGTCAGACCCAAGAAGAGCTATGTCATCTGCAAACTCAGAGTTTGTCAATAGGTCACCTAGCAGAACTTCCACTCCGGTAGAGTCTGAAAGAACCGAGTCTCATTCATGATCATTTCGATCACATGGTTAAAGAGGAAAAACGATATAGGACGTCCCGGATGAACCGCACTTATCGTGGGAAAGTCAAGAGACAGTTTCGCGTACACACTTACACAGCGTCGGGAGCCACGGTAGAGAGAGACTGTATAATTGAAAGGAATTTTCCGGACACTCGTTTGACGGACAGATAGTACCACAAGCTGGCTGGGGCAACAAAGTCAAAGACGACCTTCAACTAAAGGAAAACCACCATAGTCGGTCGTCAGTAGGCGTGTCTCGGTTCTAACACTCGACAAAGAGTGAATATTTGGTTGAAGCAATGACGGCCAAGACGAAAGACAGGCAGAATCTTAGTAATTCAGTTTTATAGAGGGCCAGTGAGTCGCTAAAGAGTAACACGCCTGAGAAGTTCGAAGGCAATGGAAACAAGGCTAATGTCTTGATGGATTTCGCACAAAGTGCGCTTATTCTTCTTGAAGGTGGGCACGAAAATTGATAGTCGGCAGTCTGAAGGCACTTCTTCAGTGCAAAAAAATTGTGCTAAATGGAGAAGCAAGCCCAGTCAACGGAGAGCCAGCTGAATCTTTCAGCAAGGATGGAGGAAAGTCGTCGGATCCATGAAGCTGGTTTCGTTTCAACACGGCGAGCTCATATCGAATCGCTTCCAAAAAGGGAGGTGTGACATCAACTTCCCAAGTCGATTCAGGTGATTCAGCAAACGGCAGTGCCGCAGCAGGCCTGCAGAGCTGATCTTCAAAATATTCCGTCTAACGAGCTAGTCGACGAGGCTGAGAATAGATCAACTGTCCATCTTTCTCAGCTATTGTCTCACTAGTTGAGGGCTTTCTCGGATCAGTGTTTCGGATAAGCTGGAACAGTACTCGGTTGTACCCAATAGCACTGGCTTTCTTCATCTCACAGGCCCTTGCTGCCCACCAGAAAGTAGATTCGAAGACTTTTTATGAGACGTCGCTTCAGGGTGTTGTGAACCTGATGAAACTTAGTGCAGAACTGAACATGTCGTCGTCGCACGTAGGCCACACAACACACTAGTGATTCACTGCAAAGAATATTTGCAGAATCTTAGGAATTTCACCAAGGGAAGAAAATGACGAACCGATAGACTGGCATTGTGCTTGCAAGCGTTTCACACAAGCAAGCTAACAGTGAAAAACTAAGGAAGCAGTATAAGATGTGGTTGCAGTTAGTTGGTCGTTTCCGACAACAGACCCTACATGCTGCTCGTGGTGAATAGTTCTCGTGTCACCAACTGTAGAAAAGAAATATGCAAGTGATCAGGCTGCTAAAAGGCCATCATCGAGTGCGAGCCCCCCCCCCCACCCCACAGCACGGCATTCACGGAATGTGAGGAGGAGGAGGAGGCAAAAAGTGCTACCGGCCGTCTGCATTTACAGTGTCGTTTAACAAGGAACATTGTGACACAGTATCCTGGCTTGTCAGACCAAAAATTGAGGGGGATAAAATAAACCCCAGAAGCTGCGATGTCAGCAAAATAAATGCTGGCGAATGAAAATTTGGGTATCGGTAACTGCGGATCACCAATGTTCAACGGCGTAGAGGTTAGGAGATGGAAAAAAAGTCAGGAGAAAACCAAAGAAATAGATAGTATTTTCGTCACATTCATGCTCTATGTCAGGGCGAACAGGTCAGAGGTAGGTGTGTGAAAAGAGCAAGGGGGCTCCGCTGTTGAATTAGTGGATTGTTGCATTAAGATCTCACCTTCTCAGAGGTACGTATGTATGTATGTAATCTCAACAGCCTAGCAACTAGACATAGAGCCAACAAAGCCATGGAGATTAGCAGATAAGGGGAAGTCATCGCGTTATAACCATCGTGGCATAGTAGTTGAAGGTGAACAACACACTTCAGCTAAGATGCCGCAGGAAGAATGGAACATTTTGACAAAAAGTAAAACAAAATATTTTTAGTTTGTTGTTCACACGCCGCTTTTCCTTTTTTTGTCATTTTAATGTTTATAGTATTAAAAATGTGAATCAATACAATACTGTGCACAATTCTTCCAATAATTCCAGTTGCGGGCCATATCTTCAAGAGTGCTAAGCCATTGGCACTCCTCATCTTTGGGTCCCCATTCTGGAAGACGTACGGATCCAACAGCGGCTAGACATGACGTCAGCGATTTCATGTGCTGCCGCCAAGTGGAAGGCTGACCACCACCCGGTCGCCTCCAGCCAGGTCCTTGACGAGCGAATAGAGCGCCACGCGGTAGACGCTCAGGTGCCATGCGTAGGACGTGACCGAGCCATCTCAACTGGCGCAACAAAACCATTTTGCTGAAGGGAATACTCGCATTCCCCATGATGCGACGTCGAACGTCATTACTATTAACTCGATGTTCCCACCAAACACGAGCGATGCTCTTTAAGCTACTGTTATCGAACGCAGAAAGACGACGCATGTCTTCCACGCGAAGCGGCCAGAACTCGCACCCATACAACAATACTGAGCGAACTGATGCGCTGTAAACGCAGCCCTTAAGTGAGAATGAGACGTCGCGACGACGCCACAAGTGCCTCAGATTGACAAATGCTGATCGAGCTTTAGCGATGCGAAGCGAAACTTCTTTGTTGATAGTGCCGTCAGCAGAAACACAGCTCCCGAGGTAGACAAAACTATCTACCTGTTCAAGTTGTGCACCTTCGAGAGTGAGCACGGAAGCAGGTGAAAGCCAATGCTTGAGCAGTACTTTACACTTCGATGGGGCGAAGCTCATGCCATACTTAGATGCTTCAACCGCCAAACGATCCAGAATGAGTTGCATACTCTGAGGATCGTCACCGAGTAAGGCGATATCATCAGCATAATCTAAGTCGGTAGCGCGCTCACCCGGTAGAAGCTCTAAGCCAAAATGTTGGAAACCTTCTAGGGCATTCGACAGAACGTCTTCGATTGCGAAGTTAAAGAGGAATGGGGACATAGGGCAGCCCTGTCGCACACCGCCATTGACAGAGAATTGCGATGAAAGCTTGCCATAGACCCTCGCACTACCGAATGTATGAAAGTAAAGTGCTCGTAAGGTGGCGGTATATTTCTCTGACACCCCGTTCTTTAGCAAGCAACGCCATAAAGCAGGTCGATCAACGGAGTCAAAAGCGGCACGTATGTCTAGAAATGCAACGATAGTGGGCCTGTGATAAACGTGGCGATGTTCAAGGAGTTGGCGGAGCGTGAAGATTTGATCCAGGCATCCGCGGCCAGGACGGAAACCAGCTTGTTCTTCACGGTAGTATGATTCACGTACTGGGGATAGTCTGCGAAGCAGAATGGATGCCAATAGCTTAGAGACAACCGAAATAAGACTAATCCAGCGATGATTTGCACATGAAGTGCGAGCGCCTAGCTTGAAAATCGGGACAACAACTGATTCGCCTCAAGAGGAAGGCACTTTCTCTCAGAGGTACGTGGACATGTCGGGAGGCCCATGTACCTTGCGTCCTCGTACGTTAGCCAAAGCCAATGAGTATGGGGAGAAGATAGAAGAAGTTCCAAGCACATGATAATGTGCCGCTGAACGAGCGCTCGCTTTTATCATGCCGATACGTTGCAGGTATATGGGAAATGGTCGGAAAAGGGCATCAACAGTACGCTAGTACGCAGTACCGATACTTCGCTACAGCGCAACCAGCACCAGTCGCACATGGGCTGATACTGCGACAGTCGCCGATCTCTACGCAGGCACCAAGCCGCGTCCTCTATTTGCAAGCCTGACTTATGATCCTTAAGGCTACGGGTCGGTAAAGGAGCCAATTCTAAAGTAAAATTGATACAGCATTGTGTAGAGACTGGCACATCAGAGGAGCTGGTGTGCGATGAGCAGAAAGCAAAACCAAACGAAATGACAAGACTGACTTACTTAAAAGGACGCTCACTGATGGATCGGGTGTAGGCCGCCAGTACAAGGGCCACATCTTCGACGGTGTTGCAAATGCGGATAGCCGATATGCCCCATGTGATTTGTAGTTTAGCGCATAGTTGATTTAGAGAGAGAGGTACGCTGGAGCCCGATGTTCGCTTTCTGCGACATGTAAAAATAAACGAAAAGTTAGTGAATAACGAAAAAAGAATGGATAAGGGTAAAATACCACAAGATATGAACAATCTACAGTGTGCGAAAGAGTTTCATCCGCTAACATAGCTGCTATAAGTCAAGTCAAGATAAGTTTTATACATCCGAGTGGGAGAATTTCCAGCAATACCTTGCGTAGCTCAAGTCAACCGGGTTCAAAATGAATGCCACGAGCTGATCGCTTCAGTGAATTGGAACGAAGGCAAAATGCTACGCACCCATGTAAAAGCGGTCGAGTGATTCAATCAGAATCGAGACCCGACTGACGGGGGAGAGGCCAAGCGATGACTCAGTCAACAGGAATGACGATCCACAATTCGAATTTGGCCCAAGCTGGTGTTTCCCAACTGCTCGCCGGGGTCCGAAGGACATTGAACACCTCTGCTTGGGTACACTTGTTGACATGGCGAAAGGGCAGCCTCAATGAGGTCTGTCTTCTGAGATTTTTGTCCCCTCCCGCTCTGCAACCTCGATTTCACACTCGATGCATAAAGGCATCAGCAGCATATCGGAAGTCAGTACCTAGGCTTCGTTGTCGCGCAACCACCAACAGTCGCATGTGGGCTAAGGATACTGCGAAGGTCACCCGGTCCTCCACGCAGACTCGAACCCGCGAATTTAGAATTACAACGCAGTCTTATGATCCTTAAGGCCATGGATCGGAACTCTCGATAATAATGTTATACCTAATATTTTATTGTTTTTTAATCTGTAAAGCGATGTATCTCATTTTTTTCGTATATCTTCATGTGTGTTGTGGCACATTAACTGTGTTACGCATAGTTTGCTAACGTTTACTGATGATGACGAAGGATATAACGGATGTGAGTTTACAGGTAGCACTGGGAGACCCAGTGACAAGAGCGAAACCAGTTTCTAAACGTTGACATAAGTGATGTACCGACAAAAGGGGGACTTAATGGCGGAAGGTGAGGCGTGACAAAAATAATTGTGATTTTGATCTCCAGCGACCAAATATAAGGCAGTGAATACACACAGTAAGATATCAAGTGGAGTTATCAAAGAGAGAGCGCTCACCTGCTCGAACCACGGAGCTTTACGCCAGTCAAAAAGATACAAGTAACGGGGCGACCCAACTGCTTCAGACAGGAACCGAAGGAGTCCAAAGTTGAAACCTGGGTGAGGGAAAATGCAGCGATGGCATTGGTATCAGTATGTGCAATTAAACAATTCATCATCATCATCGTCATCCTCCTCCTCCTCCTCATCATCATCAATAGCTGAAGGTGAGAAAGATACTTTAACTATTGTGCCGCAATACAAAAAGAGTTGTGAAAAAACTAAACATTATAGATTAAAAAAGGTAAAAAGCAATGCGTGACGCGGAAGCCTGTGTGTTGACATGCGCAACACATGGCCCAACCGTCGGAGCATAGTGCGTGTTCTAACGGTGCTGAGTGGTTCACTCGCTCTCCCTGCACCAAATACACGATGCCGAACAAGCTCATGGCGCACGCAGTGTTCCCGCCAGACATTTGCTAAACTATGAAGGCAGCTGGCGATTTATTTTATTTTTTTATTCTAGGTCTGTCGACTTGTTAGGCCAGGTTTCGCAACCGTATAGGAGCGTTGAACAGACGGCTGCATTGTAAACTCTGCCCTTTAGAGCGAGAGTGATGTCGCGTCGGCGTCATAAACGGCGGAGATTGGCAAAAGCGCCTTGAGCTTTTGGTATGCGGTTTGTGATCTCATCCAGTTAAACCATTATGAGCCGGGGGCCGAACGTCGGTGAATCCAATCGCTGAGACTCGCGTCTAGGGAGAACAATGATGCAATTTCTCGCAATTAGACAAGAAGCCAACTACTAATCCGGAAAAGCATCAGACGGCCGTGGATTGAAGATTACTAGTAGGGAGGTCCTGACACCTGGGGGACAACCACTGTGCTCTACACGGGCAGTAATCTGCATGATAGTGGTCGGGCTATATTGCAGTTGGATTTTAATCCGTGATGGTTAGCCGTCGTTCCCCATGACGCCGTGGCATAGGCTTCTGGTGCAGGTCACTAGCGGTCATGGGTTCGATCCCCAGCATGGCACGAAGAGAATGCGCACCACTGACGAATCCTAATGGGACGAAACGATTGTCTGGTGCTTTCCGGATTGCGACTTGGCCTATCTGGCTTGTGATCGAATAAATCTAACTAAATCATCCTACTCATGAGTAGAAAAATGAACATCAGCACAGATGAGGTAGAATGAAAGTGGGATGTAAAAAAGAGGGTTAAGAGAACAAAATGAGTAAACTTAACCGGTATTGAATATTAGCAGCTAGATGCGAGAAGTAGAATCCAAAAGAGCCCATAGACTCCGCTACTGTGTCACGGCAGATAACAGGTCTAGCTGCTGATGTAAGCAATCCCGAGATCCTCAATCACATAGAGAGCACGTACTGGCCTGAGCAGCAATCAATCTCCACATGTCGGTATGTTATGTTATCGAATGACCACCACGAAATTTCATGCAACCAAGTGCAGCGAGGCACCATTTAAATCAAGTAGGGAAACTCGGTAGAATATGGAGGAAATGGCTTGACCAACGCAATTGTTTGAAGCTTAGGGGACACCTCTGTTCAGCATGAGACATTCCTTAGCAAACATCAACTGAGTCACACATACACAGTGCGTGCGTTCAGATGTGGGTGACGCTTTGTGGGCACCGGTGTTCAATCTCAATGTCTTCAGCGTGAAGTGGTAGCGTCTTTGAGCCATGCAGCAGCACTATCCCTAGCTCTGTACGCCAAACAGTTAACTGTGTAGCTATTATTTAACTGTTTCGATCACTGACTGAGAGGCGTGAAAGTCACATCAGACTCGCTGGAATATCATCTCCCAGTGACGCGACCGAGCTGCCTAAGTAATATAAGTAGATCGACCACTTCCCGAGGTTGTACTCCAGAATCAATAGCGTGTCGGCTTAGTCCTACAACAGTTTCATGCATTTGGAAAGCGCAAAGCACGTGGAACCGTGCAAAGCTAGGCAACGGCCTATCGAGAAGTGTAGTGTACAGAGGAAGGTTCCGATTCAAGAGCAGCAACAGAGTCACAATAATCCAAATTCGTCAGTGGGTCACCTGGCAGATTTGCCACTTCAGAAGTGGATGAGAGGGCAACACTGTGTACACCTATTTTCATCGGAAGGGTGAAAAGGGGGATATGTGACAAACTTGACGAATCCCACTTGTTGTGGGGAACTTGGGAAACAGATTTTGTGGATTCAGACTCGGCTTTGGGAGTCGTGGTACAGAGTATTAAAAAAACTTCCATTGTACGTTTCTGAACGATAGGTAGTGTCAAAAACTCGCAAAATAAACCTAGTAAAAAGCAGTATTCAAGTCAAACACATTGATGGATCATCTGCATGTGTGTCACTGTTTCGACACTTGACGAAAAACTAGCAAGTGGTCAAAGCAGTCTCGGCCAGGGCAGAAGACATTCTGACTTGAATTGATTTACTCACATAAAGACTAGTGAGTCGCGGCAGAATGATAGCTATGAGAAACTCGAAGGTAATGGAAATAATGTTAATATAGCGAGAATTTTTGCCCAAGGTATTGTGATTTATTCTGGAGACGAGGATGAAGCATAATGACCGCTAACATTTACCTAGTTGCAATGAATTCAGTACAACAGTTTCCGGTTACGGAAGAACGGGCTGAGCTGAAAAAGATGCACACGAGCAGTACGGATCTTGCGACGCGAACACATGACATTAGTGCTTCGACGAGTAAAAGAGGAACAAGCATAGTAACACGAAGCGCTTATCAGGTCACCAGACGGCGCCACAAGTTCGGCCAAGAGTGTACATAGACAACTGAGATAATCAGTCAGAGTGAAACGAATCTACAAGACAGTGAATAAACGAGCTCTCATAAACGAACAATAAGAAAAGCAATCAAAATAAACAGTCGTGGGGCCGTAACTTCAAACCGCGCAGTTTGGTTACGATCTTGTTACACTACCCACTACTTCGTGAAGGCACAGTCCGCTGTGCCTCATGTCAACAAAGTGCGCGCAGCAACCAGGTGGTCCAGAACCGTGCTGAATGGGGGAAAAGAACGAGTCCATCGGACGGCCTGCTATGAGAGCAATTAGTGTAACACGGCACACTGAACAGTACAGACGAAAAGCGCGTGGTATTCTCAAAAATGATCATAACAGCCTTCTTAAATGCATCAACGTAGAAATTATCAGACCCAGAGTTTCCATTCTGAAAACAGGAAAGAGGACATACAGACAGAGTGCGCTGACACTGGAAAATGGTTACCAACGGTAGGGAGTTTAGAAGATAGATCAATGAATGAGTTTGGTTCCGGGACAGTACGGCTGGCCAACATGCAATGTATGGGTTGAGCCTTCACATGAGCCGCATCCGGTCGAGGAATAATTGTTATGAAGCGGCGCCGCGTAACACAGTCAGTGACGAGGAAATCCTCAACAACAACCACCGAAGAATAAAGACCGATACAAATCGCGCGTAAGGGGTGCACGTCTTGACCACAGGGACGCAGTAAAGGACAGGTACAAAGTCGACCGATGCGGTCTACGTCTTAAAAAATCTGTCGAGCAAGTATACTCCTCCTCCGTTAAAATCACATCCTGTTCTTATGGCAAGTTAGTAACACTCGTTAAGCGAGCGAAGAACTTTGAGTGGTTTTTCCTTAAAAACAGACATCCAAGTGTTGTCCAAATCAATTTCGAAGGAGAATCAACTGGAACGTCTGTCGATCTGGAGCACCGCATGGTTTCGGGACTGTGGTAACTGATTATATAGCGGCCGACAGATTCATATGGCACACCAGTGAGGTAACCCACGACCTTCTCATTTCTCACTTCCAAATCGTCCTCGGCATAAAAATCGGCAGTTGGGCGACGAGATCAACACCGTTTGATGGACTACCAAATTTGATCTTCCGTTGCTGATTGCGTAAAACCTGTTTTGTAAAAGCTTGTGTTCTCAAATATGATCCTGCCCGCGACGCCAAAGGTAATGTTTCCGGTTACAGACAGACGGGCCGAACTGAAAACGGTGCACACGATGAGTACGAAGGTTGTGACGCGAACATGTGACGTTAGTGCTCCGACGAGTAAAAGAAGAACAAGGAGAGTAGCACGAAGCGCTTATCAGGTCGCCAGAGGGCGCCACAAGTTCGGCCAAGATTGTACATAGGCAACTGAAACAATCAGTCAAACAGAGCGAAACTAATCTACAAGAGAGTGAATAAACGGGCTCGTGTAAACGAGCAATAAAAGCAATCAAAATAAACAGTCGTGGGGCCGTAACTTCAAATCGCTCAGTTTGGTTGCGATCTTGCTACACTACCCACTACTTCGTGAAGGCACAGTCCGCTGTGCCTCATGTCAACAAAGTGCGCGCAGCAACCAGGTGGTCCAGAACCGTGCTGAATGGGGGAAAAGAACGAGTCCATCGGACGGCCTGCTATGAGAGCAATTAGTGTAACACGGCACACTGAACAGTACAGACGAAAAGCGCGTGGTATTCTCAAAAATGATCATAACAGCCTTCTTAAATGCATCAACGTAGAAATTATCAGACTCAGAGTTTCCATTCTGAAAACAGGAAAGAGGACATACAAGCAGAGTGTGGTGACACTGGAAAATGGTTACCAACGGTAGGGAGTTTAGAAGATAGATCAATGAATGAGTTTGGTTCCGGGACAGTACGGCTGGCCAACATGCAATGTATGGGTTGAGCCTTCACATGAGCCGCATCCGGTCGAGGAATAATTGTTATGAAGCGGCGCCGCGTAACACAGTCAGTGACGAGGAAATCCTCAACAACAACCACCGAAGAATAAAGACCGATACAAATCGCGCGTAAGGGGTGCACGTCTTGACCACAGGGACGCAGGAAAGGACAGGTACAAAGTCGACCGATGCGGTCTACGTCTTAAAAAATCTGTCGAGCAAGTATACTCCTCCTCCGTTAAAATCACATCCTGTTCTTATGGAAAGTTAGTAACACTCGTTAAGCGAGCGAAGAACTTTGAGTGGTTTTTCCTTAAAAACAGACATCCAAGTGTTGTCCAAACCAATTTCGAAGGAGAATCAACTAGAACGCCTGCGGATCTGGAGCAACACATGACTTCGGGACTGG